AAGCAAGCTTTCGGGTTCAAAAACCCTTCGTCAGGCTCAGGAAGCTGCAGCAGTTGGGGTGTGCTCTTCCTGGATGGAATGAAATGTAAAGAAGCCAGGGGCTGGGCTGGGGAGTCAGTTGCCAGGCAGATTATAATGCATCAAAAATCCAATGTCTATGTTTAGTCCCTGATCTCTAGTATCCAGCAGGTTGATGAAATGGAGCTCATAGGCTCGTCTCTGGGATGTGTTGTGTAAATTTCCCTTGAGGATCAGGACTGAGAGATTGGAGAGAGAGTGGCCCTCCTGTGAGAAATGTGCCCCCACCGGTAATTGGGTGTTTCTGTCTTTGATGGATTTCCGGTGTGCGTTCATTCTGGTGCGCAGTTGTTGTCTGGTCTCTCCTACATATCTTCCATCAGGGCATCTGGTGCATTGGATGAGGTATACTACATTCCTGGAGGTGCAGCTGTAAGATCCTGGGATGCTGATGGCTCTGTTGTGGGGTGTAGTAATAGTGGGGGTGGTGGAGATGTGGGGGCAGGTTTTGCATTTCTTGTCATGGCACGGTCTGGATCCTTTTGGTGTGTTCTGGGGTTGAGGAAGTTTGCTTCTGGTGATGAGGTTGGCGAGGTTCGGTGCTTGTCTGAAGGCTAGGATGGGTGGCTCTGGGAAGATCTTTTTAAGAATAGGGTCTTTTTCTAATATGGGTTGTAATTTTTTGAGGATTTTCCGTACAGGTTCAAGGGATGGGTGATAGGTCATAACCAGCGGTGTGCGATTTGTGGGTGTTTTTCTTTTGTACTGCAGCAGTTCTTCATGTGGTATCCAGGTGGCTCTTTCAAACGTGTGATCTACTCTTTCAAACGTTTGTGGATTTTAGGGAGCATGTAAAAAGTCCCTGGGTTAGGTAGCGGGGGGATCAAGGTCTAGTTTTTCTTGTAATCTTGGTGGAAATGATTTGATGGTATTGTTTGAGTTTTTTGGTGAAAAGGGGAGTAGGATCTTCTTGTAGTTCTTTGTAGTAGGTGGTGTCAGAGAGCTGTCTGTTGGAACACACTCCTAGCCACCATGGACGTTACCAGCCTATACACCAACATCCCACACCAGGATGGCATCCATGCCTGCCTTACATATCTACAGGAACAAGATTACAACCCAGAATACAGACCCAAAGATATCACTGAGCTTATACACTTCATCCTCACACACAACAATTTCACTTTTAATAATCAACACTTCCTCCAGATGATGGGAACAGCTATGGGCACTAAAATGGCCCCACAGTATGCCAACCTTTTTATGAGCCACCTGGAAGAAGACTTCCTCAAGAACTGCACCATCAAACCCTTGCTGTACTTACGATATATCGATGACATCTTCATCATTTGGAGTGAGAACCTGGAATCTCTACTTGAGTTCCACCAGAAATTCAACAGTCACCATCCCTCCATCCGACTTTCTTTAGAATACTCCAACACCAACATCCCCTTTTTAGACACAAGGATCAGTATCCAGAAGGGTAAAATACAGACCACAGTATACAAGAAACCCACAGACCAACATACATATCTGCACAGAACCAGCAATCACCCGAAACACACCAAAAAAGCAGTGATATACAGCCAAGCCCTCAGATACCACTGCATCTGTACTGAAGAGAACACCCGGGATTGCCACCTCACCAATCTTAAAAAGGCTTTCACCCAGCAAGGACACTCCTCCAGAGAGGTAGATCGCACGTTTGAAAGAGCCACCTGGATACCACGTGAAGAACTGCTGCAGTACAGAAGAAAAACACCCACAAATCGCACACCGCTGGTTATGACCTATCACCCATCCCTTGAACCTGTACGGAAAATCCTCAAAAAATTGCAACCCATATTAGAAAAAGACCCTATTCTTAAAAAGATCTTCCCAGAGCCACCCATCCTAGCCTTCAGACAAGCACCGAACCTCGCCAACCTCATCACCAGAAGCAAACTGCCTCAAGCCCAGAACACACCAAAAGGATCCAGACCGTGCCATGACAAGAAATGCAAAACCTGCCCCCACATCTCCACCACCCCCACTATTACTACACCCCACAACAGAGCCATCAGCATCCCAGGATCTTACAGCTGCACCTCCAGGAATGTAGTATACCTCATCCAATGCACCAAATGCCCTGATGGAAGATATGTAGGAGAGACCAGACAACAACTGCGCACCAGAATGAACGCACACCGGAAATCCATCAAAGACAGAAACACCCAATTACCGGTGGGGGCACATTTCTCACAGGAGGGCCACTCTCTCTCCAATCTCTCAGTCCTGATCCTCAAGGGAAACTTACACAACACATCCCAGAGACGAGCCTATGAGCTCCATTTCATCAACCTGCTGGATACTAGAGATCAGGGACTAAACATAGACATTGGATTTTTGAGACATTATAATCTGCCTGGCAACTGACTCCCCAGCCCAGCCCAGCCCAGCCCCTGGCTTCTTTACTTTTCATTCCATCCAGGAAGAGCACGCACCAACTGCTGCAGCTTCCTGAGCCTGACGAAGGGTTTTTGAACCCGAAAGCTTGCTTAATAACTATTCTCCAACCATTTGGGTTGGTCTAATAAAAGATATCAAATTCACCCAAGGAACCTTCTCTGCCTAGGTAAGTGATTGATACACTAGGAATGCTCTGGATAGTGAGAAATTTCTCTTGTCATGCTAGGAATAACCAGCTGGGTTTTCTGGTAACTATAACTAATAGGTTAAACTTTTAAAGCTTATCCTCAAGTTTCTTTGTGCTGAATCTGACTTCCTCCTGTGACCCGTAGACCTTCATTTTGTTCAGTCCTGTCAGGATAAGCAACATTTGGAGGTCTACTCCTGATTACTTGAATCTTATGCACCCTGCCATCTAACCCTGTGACCTTTTCCCAGTGTAGACAGGGTCTTAGCATCTTTTGCCTTAGCTCGTCTTGTTGTTTTATCTCTGGGATGTGGAAATGAGCTGCAGTTCATAAGAATGTTCTAAGGAATTTAATGTAATAGGATCCAGTGGCATAGCTGCTTTCTGTGAACTCTAGGCAGTTTGTTTAATCTAACTGTTAAAGCGGATCACTTTTCTTGACAGCTAGTAACCATCTGAGCTTCTGTCCAAATGGGCTTGTGTCTGAGGCTGCCCTCATTGTGTGTTTGAGCATGAAGTCTGCCTGCCAGCATGTTATGTTTTTCCAGGTTGTCCACCATAGTAGGACTGATTAAACCAATGTCAGATTCACTAGTGAAATGCTTACAAGTCCATTAATACTGCAGTTTCATTTAGGAGGAAGGGCTGGAAGGTCTGAAATGTAGTAGTGCTTGCTGGATGTCTATATGTACAATAACTTTTTCTGGCTATAGATAATGAAAAGGCACTGACCTCAAAGTATCATTGGAAGGATGCACCTGGTTTAGTAACTTTAAGATGGCCATCTAATCATTCTTTAACTGCATTCAGGTAAAATGAAGTTTGGGGGGTATTTTTCCTTGACTTACTACAAAGGCCAGGTAGGGAGTAGCTAGACTCTCTGGCTGCATTGCAAGTAGTTGCCTTGTGTGGTGAGAGTGGTGTGTTTTAAATACAGTCCTTCACATAATGGTTGGTCTTAGTGGTCTTGATTAGTTTCGAGGTCTGGGCTGCCAACACTTTGGATAATGCCCCGGGAACAGATGGCAGGCCAGGTGGCAGGCTGACTGACATAGCCAAAAATTGGCAAATGTTTCTCTTGTGCTATACTCAAAGCAACACTGACAGATGAGCTTGAGTGAAAAACAAAGAAAAATATCTCCTTGAAAACTACAGAATATAGATAATATACAAGTGCTGTTTCTTCATATGTCTGCTCCTTTGTGGTAATCCTCATCCTTACTTTTCTCCTGCTTTTTTGAGGCTTCCTTCCTATGTTCATACACTTTTGGTATTACTGTAGTAGTAATTTAGCATTCAGATTGTTGCCCTCTTTACAGAGAACTTGAGACAAGAAAGGTTTATTTTATGTATTTATGGATGATTCTTAGACATCCTATCTTCTGAGGTGTTAGGAAAAGTTTGGGGACATATGACTTCAAGTTTTTCTTATGAGGAGTATGAGTACCGTGCCTGAGGTCCAGCTTCTCGATAGTGATAGGATCCAACTCTTTTATGGTGAATTCCTTGCATTCTGTGGAACTCTTGGTAAGGCAACTTCATGGAAGTCGGGATTTGTAACCTTTATGAGAATCATTAGTTTTGTTCAGTTCAGTAGTCCTGATAACATCTGATCTGTTCTCTCTCTGGTGAGGGTAGGAGTCAAGATGTGATTAGTGTGTGAGCAAATTGGGAATTTCCTTCAAAATACCCTGTAATGAAAATTAAAAGTTCCTATTTTAAATGCTCAGCTTAGATGTGAATGGGGCAGCACCTGATGTAGTTCTTCTGCAAAAGTAGAGTAGCCCAACTCTATAATTTTTCAAGGAGCAGAAACGTAAGCAGGACAACAAATATGTGATTGGAGCAGATGTGTCAGTAAATAATATTAGGGTATAGAATGAATGTGGAGCAACAGCAATTGGAGAGGAAGGAAGAGAATGAGCAATTCAAAAGATGGTGGAACAAAGGAGAGAAGAAACCAGGTGAAGCAAATGATTGGGGTTTAGAGACAGCAAGCTCATAGGTTTGGAGCTTGAGCGGTCATTTGTCCTGCATTCAGATTTTAAAAAGGGAACAGTAATACATCAGGTGTTATTAAAATGCTAATTTCAGGCTCCTGTGCCTCCAGCTGTGATACCTTCACTAAATGCTTGTTGGGCTTAAAAAAAGGATCTGTGGTTTTAAGGTGCAGCCTAATTAAACCTGCTAGTTGACAAGTGGGTGATTAGATGCAATTTGTTGATTTTTAGCTACCATGATTACTTTTGTAATATGTTGTGCATTCATGAAAATTTTCCACAAAATACTTTAGAAACTTGTTTGTACTTGACACTTATTTTTCACCCATGCTTTGTTTCTTCTGCAGGTATTGTCGGCGAAGCAGATGAAAATGGGGAAGACTATTATCTTTGGACCTATAAAAAACTTGAAATTGGTTACAATGGAAATAGAATTGTGGATGTGAATCTGACTAGTGAAGGAAAGGTCAAATTGGTACCAAATACCAAGATCCAAATGTCTTACTCAGTAAGTAATGGAGGAGTACACATAGGATGAGAGAATTTGTAGGGTGCAGTGCAACAGAAATCTGTTCAGTTTGTTCACCACAAATTCCAGGTGGCTGTGTCTGGGTTTAATACGAAAAGCAGTTTTAAGAAGTAAAGGCATGCTTCGGTCTCACTTCATATGCAAAATTAAATTTTAAACGCTCATTTGCAGCATTTAAAACAAACTGATGCCTTTAAGGTGTATAAGTTGTCTTTAGAGAATTTCGCTTCTGGGAAATGGGGAATTGAAGATGACTGACCAGATGAGGGCTTTGTAAGTAGTACCCACACCTATAGAGCAATGACCCTTGAAACCATAGAATGGACAGCAGATGGCATTAACTTCTTCTCTTGACCTAAACTGCATTCTCAGCTTGTAGCAAAACACACTGTTGAGTCCTTGGAATTCTTTGATAAGATACTACATTAGCATTAATGGCTTTTTTGTGTTTTGCAAAGCAGAGTTGAGATTCACCTGCTATTTAGAGTAGTGCCTGTAAAGCCTTTTGTTTTGTGTGTTGAATGTTGGTGAAGTATATTAGGCAGATACATGCGTGTGATAAAATAAGTGTACCTTGGTATAATTTGATATAGAGGGTGATGTTCTCCCTTGTCTTCATTTAATGGAGTTTTTTCCATTGCTTCCAGTGTCAGAGACCTCACATCTCACTGTCAGTGGTTCTTTGAGCAGAAGTTTTGGGTTCTTAATGTGTTGACTTTTTTTCAGAATGTGTTAGCATAAACAGTTCTAGCACAAAAACTGTTATCTTATACTGAATAATCTGCCTTCAGAATAAAAGTATTGCTAGGATCGTACACCTGTAGTTTGAAGTGTAGAGAATTGGTTTCACGTATGTGTTCTGGATAAACTTCAGCATCTTTTCGCTAATCTTTTCTTTTCAGTAGAAGCGTTACAGAGACTCAGAGATTCTCTCAATAGTTTTCCCATTTCAGATCCCAGCATTATTGGGCCCATTCTTTCTCTAGACTCTTGTTTTTACCAGTTTCCTGAGTGGCTCCTAGACTTGTTAGAAAAAGATGTTCCCGTCAAGCTCTCCTACTGGTTTGGAGACCTCGAGACCTTATCTTGATTCCTCCTTGGATCTAGTGGACCAGACATGGGCCTTTTTTCTGGAGATGGGCTGTGAACATAGCCTTGTTTTGATAGTGGAGCAGTTCGTGCACAGCAGCCTCTGCCACTGATTGGCATTATTCTTGTTGGAAATGTATCAATATGAAATGACGCTGAAAACTTTTTCGGGAATAAGTTGTTAACAATCCAGCTGCATTTGGTAATAAAGAAACACACAAGATGCTTCTGGCAAGTGTACAGTTGGGGTTTTTTTGGCTTTAAGCCATGCTGCACCAGTGTGGTTGGAACTGGGCAATAGTTTCAAAGCTGGAAGTAACTTTACTATCCAGCTCAGAGGTTTGTTCAGTCTTTCCCAGAACAGCAATGACTACCCAAGCGCATAGATGTAAACTATGTGAAATAAGTTAGTGGTGTCTCAGTTCAATGTTAGTACAGGGCTAGGTTCCCTGTAATGCAATTTATTAAGCATCCTGCAGTAGTCTGCCCCTAATTCTGTTGTGCATGAGAGCTGCTTGGTCAGGAGGCATGTAACTCCTGACTGAGAGGAGGCCATTCTGATTGTTGTCACTGCTGCCTGTGGCTTTGGGTTGAAGGCAGGAGAGTTGGAGTGCATCTCAGCAGGCATGCCATGAAGGACTGAGGGACATGGAAAGGGTAAGGTGAAATTCCTTGAAGTTCTTATGCAGACAAGGTTCCTTGGGTGAATTTGATATCTTTTATTAGACCAACCCAAATAGTTGGAGAATAGTTATTAAGCAAGCTTTCGAGTTCAAAAACCCTTCGTCAGGCTAAGGAAGTTTCAGCAGTTGCTGTGTGCTCTTCCTGGATGGAATGAAAAGTAAAGAAGCCAGGGGCTGGGCTGGGGAGTCAGTTGCCAGGCAGATTATAAAGTATCAAAAAGCCAATGTCTATGTTTAGTCCCTGATCTCTAGTATCCAGCAGGTTGATGAAATGGAGCTCATGGGCTCGTCTCTGGGATGTGTTGTGTAAATTTCCCTTGAGGATCAGGACTGAGAGATTGGAGAGAGAGTGGCCCTCCTGTGAGAAATGTGCCCACAGATCAGTAAGTCCCCACTTAAAGGTGGTATTGGGAACAAAAGTAACTTCTTTGTGATTGGTCAGTGAGAATAAGAAAATGGAGTAGGAAACTGAGAAAAGCCTGCAGGAATGAGGGAGGGAATGAGAAGCAGAGGGGCCAAAGAGTGGTGGGAGGATGGGAGAGAATGAAAGGAAATAAGGAAGTTGGGTGATGCAAAGTACAGATTGTGGGGGTTATGGAGATGGGTGCCATGATCTTACAATCAATTTTAGGTTCAGTCAGTCTGTCATTTTATGTGAAGAATGTCAAAAAAGATTACAAGAAACAAAAAGTTACAAAGTCAAGCACTTTTAAGTTAAAGGATTTCACTTACCCTTGCAACCTGAATAGCACCTTCTCGATCATGCACATTTTAAAATGATATACCATGACCACCAAGATGGTTTTTCTATTGGCAGGGGAAAACCACAAAAGTGGCAAGGGGTAGTACAGCAACCGTGGTAATGCATAGTTAGCCCCCCAGTTTCACTTCTAGTGGGAAGATCTTGGCTATATGTCAACTTAATGGAAGTGGGAGACTCCTCTCTAGCTTGCTTCTGCGGCCATATGGCTGGGGGGAAGTGAAACTCGGGGGGCATCTGAACCCCAAACCTTGGGCCTGCACATAGGATGCTTACCAAAGGATTTGGAAATATCTGAAGCCCCAGATGGAGGTGGAGGATGCTTGCCGATAGCAGAGCCAGATATAGTTCTTGAATGACTCTCACAGATTTGGAACTGATTTGGCTGATTTGACTTGGGACACTAAAATTTTTCCTTAAAAAACAAGCAAACGTATTGTAATTATATGTTCACATCCTGTTTTTTTCCACATTATCCCTGCTGGATTCACATCACAAGATGGATCATTAAGGAAAGAATCGGGGCTCTGTTGTACAGGAAGGGGTTGTCCATCTGTAAGACTCCTGTGCCATTTATTGTAGGAGTTTGAAGACACGTAGTGAATTAAACAAGTGAATTACAGGAAGAGAAAACATAGTCTTTTGTGGCAACGGTAGCAGAATTCAGACTGGGAACTTGACTTCTGTATCTGTCTCTGTCAGTCCTAAAGCTGATATTTGGCTCATCACTTAAACCAAATCCTTCAGTTGTGGTTTCTCCATTTTCTGGCACACCAGTGTCTAATAATGAGACACTTGGTCAGATGTGTGGAAGTGCTGAATGAGTATAACTGCACATGATGTCAGTTGTAATTAAATGCTCTGAAAAATCAGTTCCTAGGGTTGTCAAGATGGGCACCAAAATTAGTGGCTTTATCTCTGTCTCTTGCTTTCCCATCTATAGAATGGGAAAACCAGTTTAGCCCAGAAAGTGCTATAAGCATGAATTCAAGAATGTGTGTAAATTGCGCTGTAAAGCACACATTACAGTGATGAAAGCCTTTGATGAGAAAAATGCATGAAAAAAAATTAATAATTCATTATAGGGTTTAGATGGGAAGCAGTAAGAAAGGTATGGAGCTAATCACAAAATGTGGAGAAATTTGTTCTTTAGGTCAAATAATATTTTGGTTAAGACAAGGCAGACCCAACATGTATTTTTGGGCCTCTAGCTGCTACCACAACATAAATTCTTTGTTAATTGAGAGTTAAGGTAGCTCATACATTTTTTTTTCTTCTTTTCATTTTTTGTTTTTTGGTGATTTTTTGTCCTTGCTGGCAATCGCGTCTACCTCTGAGGGCCAGAGAACAGAGCAAAGGCGCCCATGTGCAGCCTAAACTCTCTCTTCTCCCAGCAATGCCCTGAAGCACCAAAAAAAAGCAGAAACATCTGTGATGCCAGAGGGCCATCTGAATTCTTCATTTGTGATGTTTTGCCATTGACTTTCCTCGTGTGGTGAACTCAGATATTTCTGTACACTAATGATTAGCTGTTGTCATATCAGCTGGCAGTTCAGGGGCTGCTGTGGTTGCTGAGGAGAGAGGATGCTATGTGGTTCCCAAGTCATCCTTCTTGCTCCTGCCCACTGTCAGAGGAATGAGGATAATAATGGTCATGGCTTGTAGGGCCTGTAGGGTATAGCTGCTAATAAAGGCTGAGAGAGAAATAACATTAGCCCAGTGGTTCTCAACAGGGTGCCATGGAACCCTACTGTGTCTTGAGATCCTTTCAAGGGTACTATGGAGTGCCCTACAGTGTTAGCACTGTTAGGTGCATGCAAACGACTCACAGAATAAGAAACTTCAAATAGAAATCTATAGTTGTGGTCTTGCCAAGTTCTTTGCAACAGAAAAACTGCTCTGTTTTTCTGTAGTCAAAAAAGAATGAAAACTAAGTCGTCTCTTTCCCGGGGGGCGCCACAAGCCTATCTGAGGGTGCCCCAAGTCAAAAAAAAAAAAAAAGGTTGAGAACCACTGATCTATATTTAAGTTAAGAATTGTATCAGTTGTATCACTTGGTGGTTATGATAACTTTGAAGCGTGAGAGAAGGCTGGTGTCTGTCTTTTTTCTTGCCAGCTTTTTCAGCAAAACCTCATCTTCCTAGCTGATTAATCTATTAGCTGCTTACTGTCCTCTTCTGTCGCATAGTCAGCAGAGACAGCAGTCCACTGGGAGATTATTCAGATCTTTGCTTCTGTGACTGAGCCTCCACTTTGCTCTTCATCCGGGCCTCCCCAGCTGTGGCCCTGGTCTGCTCATTGCAGTCATTTCCCCAACCCTAGGATTTTAAATTTGATCCATTTTTGAGGGGCTACCAAACCTGGCTTGCAAAGGGATACAGAGAGGGCTTCAGAATCATGTCCTGTCCCCCGTTTACCCCCCTCCCTTTCTCTTCCCCCCAAGGATTCCAGGCCATTAGCATACACAGAAGGGAAAATGATTGCACTGTATAAATACGTAGGGGTGGGGAAGTGCCAGAGGAAGAGAAGAGCTATTTAAACTGAAGGATGATGTTGGCAGAAAAGCAAATGGAAAGAATCTGGCCATGAGTATGTTTGGGCTGGAAAATAGAAGACAGTTTTTAATAATCAGAGAAGCTGGAACATGCAGTGGTCTCCCAACAGGAGTAGTGAAGACAGGAAACCTCTAATTAGTTTTAAGGTGGAGTCTGATACATTTAGAAATGACATTGTATGATGTGGGAATGTGAGATAGCAAGGTATTGGATTTGATGACCCAGGAGAACCTTTCCAATCCTAGACCCCTTTCCACCATCTCCCACATCTCTCTCCCCTCACCATAGTCCCAAGTATCACTCTCCTTTTTCCTCCTGACATGCCTTAGCACGCACAATGTATTGAAAATAGTTTGATCACCTGCTATCTGCTGTCCTCCCGTTCAGCTTCCTGAAATAATCCTCCCTTGGAAGATGCGGATTGTGACAATAGGTTTGTAGATCTTTCTCAAGATGTAATTTCCTACACTATTGTGAAAGCAAACTGGGACAGGGAAAGATTTTCATAATGGGGTCTGCTTTTGAATACCATGGAATTCATCTAGGTTGGGACTTCTGGATCCTCTTCTGTGCCTTGAACAGGCAGCTAATATGTAACAGTAGCAGGCTGTTATCCTCTATAGATCTTTCTAGCCACTAGAAAGGCAAAGAGAAACGCACTTTGCAAGTGGGTTTCTACCTTTTTTCTGATAGTGGAAGAAATGAAGACTCTAGACTTCATGGTTCTCTTCTGGTATTTAGAAGGAAGTTTTTGTGGTTGGGACTCTGTTCCCACCCATGTGATCTAATGCCCTTTTTCTTTGTCCCTTCAGCCTCTTTGCATCCCAGTCTAGGCCCTTTCGGCTTTCCTCACTCGCATCTTGCTCTGTCAGACTGCTTTAAAGACTGAAGGAGACCTCAGGTGCATCTCTTCCCCCCTGCCTTGTTCCTAGATCTTCTGTCTCAGAGGTGCACTGGAACAGTTTTGCAGGGCAGCGTGGAGAGGCAAGGATAGCTGATGCTCATGCTGTGGATTTCAGTATTTAGGGCTGTCAGTCCGCTCTATTTTGCTGTCTCTGAAATTCATATTTTACATCTCAGAAAATGTCTGGAATGGATTACTTCTAAATCTTTGTATTTGTGGGTCAAGCAAGTATTATGAGCTTTTCTAATGTCAACTTTTTTCTTTCCTCAGGTGAAATGGAAAAAGTCAGATGTCAAGTTTGAAGACCGATTTGATAAGTACCTTGATCCATCTTTCTTTCAGCACAGAGTATGTCATTCTAAAATATCCATACAAAGCTTCTTTTGAATGTACTCTTTGTTTTGGAAAAGTCAGTGGAACAGTTTTACAGGCTGTTCCAATTGCTACTGTTATGTGAGCAAATAGAAGTACTGTGAAGGAAGTCCTATATCTTTTGAGGACAAAACAGATTCAAGATGTTTAAAAATGGCTTGTTCAAGTTGTTTTTATTTTTAATACAAGATTGCTTTGTACGAGAAGTCTACAATACATTAAGATATTCTCTTTAGCACCTAGTAGATGTGAAGGAAATTCATACAAATGAATCTGAACATTTACCCAGCTATAAACTATGCTGCCATGAGACCCCCATTCTAAGAGAGGGTACTTGTGTTGAGGTTTCCTGAGTGCTTTAGCCTTTTTGGGACCTTCCTGGTATTCACCTTGGCATCCTGTACTTGTCTCCTTTCTCCCAGGAAATTACTACCAAGCAGTTGCTCCCAACTTTGTTGTTTTGTAATGAGCATGTATGGCATGCACACAATAGGTTTCATCAAGTGTGGGGTCATTTTATATGCAAGATCAACTTATAATTGAAATAATGTGGCATAGCCAAGGTGATATAGGTAACGGCTGTCCAGTATGCTTTTCAGCTTCGAACATGTAACACAGCACCATCCTTAGTGACCTTTAGGGGCACCTAGGGGACTTCTGAGTCTCTTTGCTTGCCCTTCCTGCTGGGAACGGACACCCCTTCACTTGCCTACCACGTCTTGATGTTTCTTTGGGTTCCAAAGAGGAGGCTGCCCAAGGGTTTCCCAGCATTGGGTCTATGCTCATTAACACCTTGTGGTGGTGAGCCGCAGTCTTAAGGGCTCTTTGCATGCTCCTACCTCCCCTTAATGTGCCCCATGCCTTGCAGGTTTTGACTGTGTAATGTCCCTTTGTGGGGGCTTCAGCCTCCTGAGCTTCTGCCCCCTTTTTCTCTGGCTAGGCCTACCAGCCAGGGTCCACAATTTAGGACTTGACTTCAAGGCCCTAGCTCCACAAACTACTCTGGGCTCCTGGCTCTTTATACCATGGCATTGGCTCCCCTGTTTCTTTAACACTGCACCCCTGTGGTGCTGAGTTGTTGGGGCCTCAGCCTTCCCCAGCTTTGCCCCTTACACTATAGCTAGGCCTCCCAGCCTAGGCCCGCTAGGTAAGACCCGACATTGGGGCAGTAGCGCATCCCTCTACTCTGGGCTGTGCCCCCTGTATGGTTGTGCCTGCTGTAGCACAGGGTCTTTAGCCCTCTAGCTGTGCCCCGTGGACGCTAATGACGCTGCACCTCCCCTACAGCCTCAGCCACAAGCCACTGGTTTAAAATGGAACATAATAAACCCCCGGGCTGTAATAAAAAAAAATAAAGGTGAAGAAGGCAGTTTGGCTGCTTACGTTTCCAGGGTCTCTGTCTCTGCATCCCACTGCCGGCTTCTCACGCGCTCTCGCTACCGTGGCTTTTTTTTTATAAGTTCCACCCTCTCTGCAGCTTGAGCCCCATGGCCAGCTCAGGCACGGCTTATATAGTTTTGGCCTGTTTGGCCTGAGCCCTCTTCCAGTCACCTGATGGCCCATCAGCTGGCCAGCCAGCCAGGCTCAGCTTTGAACCCCTGCTCTGCTGGTAGGCTGTGCCCGGAAGGTTCTGGTCTTACTGGAAAGCAGGGCAGCCCCTTTAACAGACCTAGGAGTCCCTGTTACAGAACAAGAACATTCCTCTTGGGCCCTTTGGTGCAAATGACTTTGAAAGTTAAATTATGGTAAGGAATCTTTTGTTTTGTTTTGTTTTTTCTTTTTTGATTTAATGATTTTAAAAGTCTCTGCAATATGGAATTCCACTGTTAACCACGATCACACATGTGCTTGCATGTGCACGCATGCATGCATTTTGTATATGTGTATCATGCCTTGGTAGCATCTAGATCAGGGGTGGGAAAGTCTGACCTGTGGGCTGGATTGAGCCCGTGGCAGACTCCATTTCCCAGCAGCCCCAGCTCCAACTGACTTCCGTGGAGACCCCAGGAGCATGGGACTGTGACAGCACATGGCCATGACAGCACAGGGCCACAGAACCAGGGCTCTGCCTCAGCCTTGCCTCGCCCCATGCTGTCATGCCCCCGTGTTCCTGGCGTGTCTGTGGAGACAGGCCAGGAGCCCCATAAGCAGGCACACAGCTGGGTGAGGAGCTGCTCCAGGGCTGGGGCCAGGATCTTGTGTCAGTGACAGCCCAGGGCAGGGCCAGAACAGAGCTGCAATCTGCTGCCTGTACATTCCTGCAACAAGCGCGGGTTCCACAGGCAGGGGCATGCAGACAGCTGTTTGCAGCTCTGCCCCAACCCTGCCCCCCAACAAATTGTGACCCCCACCCAACCCTTCCCCCCCATGAGGCTGGAAATGAGGTGCCCACGTGTACACCCCCTCAATATACCCTGCCTTGCTCCCACTTTCTTGGGTGCAAGGGCCCTGTCCGGCCAGCAGCACCTTCTGGGCGGGGCTTCTGCTGCAGCCCCCCCCATGGGAAACTGCTTGGCTTCCTGGAAGTCCAACTCACTCAGGATAGCAGGTAGGGAAGCAGTGGGGCTGATGGTGGGGGTGGACTTGCAGCTGGGTGGAAATGTAGAGCACAGTGTGGAACCCACACCCTTGAGGTGGCAGGAGTGTGGAGCTCAGCTGGGCAGGCTGTGGGTGTGAGTTTGGGGGGTGTAGGGACCCCCCATGCACTCTCACAATGACGTGCAACCCTCGCTACTGGCAGCAGGCGGGGAGGTCAGGGTGCTCGTGCTCGGCACAGGTGCCTGGTAGGCCACAGCTGTGGCTAGTGCTGCATGCCTGCAGCTCCCACACTCGCAGCGGGGGAAGCCCTGCACTGGACTCCGAGGAAGCAGGGGGTGGGATTTCTACCACTCCCAGCTGAGTGTGGGGACCTGTGCAGCAGGGGGCAGGGAATGCAGCTGGCATCAGCATGGGGCTTCCCCCCCTGTGAGTGTGGGAGCTGCGAGTATGCAGCACAGAGTCCTGGTGATAGAGGAAGCTGGGCAGGCTGCGCTTCTCCTCCCTCCCCCCCCCTTTGTTGTTGTTGTTTGTTTGTTTGTTTGTTTGTTTGTTTGTTTGTTTGTTTGTTTCATAGTTGGTAGGGTCAGAAGGGACCTGAACATATCATCAAGTCCAACCCCCTGCAATGGCAGGAAAGAGTACTGGGGTCAAATGAAGATGATTATCTAGCTTCCTTTTAAAGACCCCCAGGGTAGGAGCCAGCACCACTTCCCTTGGAAGTTGGTTCCACATCCTAGCCGCCCTGGCTGTGGAGTAGTGCTTCCTGATGTCTAGCCTGAGCCTACTCTCTATCAACTTGTGGCCATTATTCCTAGTTACTCCTGGTGGTGCTCAGGGGAGCAGGGACTGGGTACACAGTGCTGGGCTCCTACACTGGGCACAAGTGCCCTGACCTTCCCATCTGCTGTTGCTGCCAGTAGTGGGGGTGCATGCTATGGGGGCAGTGTGGGGGGTCCCTACACCCCCCCACCATCCCTCACACCCCACACACCCACACCCTGACCCCACAATTCTCACTGACATACATACGCTCAAACATACCCTATTCCCCCTACACAGCCACAACATCCCTACACTCCACCATGCGCGCACGCACACACACACACACACACACACACACTCTCTCTCTCTCTCTCTCTCTCTCTCTCTCTGTCTCTCTCAAAGAGTGAGCCTTTATTTTTGAGTTATTATGCAATCCCTTCTATATACAGTACACAAATGCAAGTCACGACAAATAGTTTTTGTAATAAAATTAAAATATAGTAGGTGTTTGACTTCTAGTATATGATTTGTTGGGTTTTTTTTCTGGTTCTAAGATGGCAACACTCCCAAAAGAAGTATTAGGGGGTGGGGGAGAGCAAGGGAAGGGACTTCTCATGGCAAAGGTCAGGGGCTAGGGGGTAGGACTTCTGGTCCCAATGTGGTGACCAGGGAAGAGGGCTACCTATGCAATCCCCAACAGCTTGCCAGAACTTTTTAAGCGGCCCTCCACCTGGAATAATTGCCCACCCCTGATTTAAGGTGTAATTAATTGGTTAATCATGTCTGCCAGGGGCCTTAGTTACTCTTGGTGCTAGTGGCTTTCACTGATCATTGTGTCAACCTAAAATATGGTACAGTTTGCCAGATGAAAATCTCATTTAATAATGTCATGGCTCCAGTAAAGTGTTCATGTGATTTCATGCCTAAATTGTGAGTTTGTTGATGTCATATTTGGCCTTCTGATGGAAAAAGATTAAGATAATTTTCATGCTTGGTAGTCTCTAGTTCGGCTAATGGAAGTACTCGGTGGGTGTGTTTACACGTGCACTTTACTGGACAGTATTACTGCACAGTAAAGTGTCACCATCTACACATGAATAGCAGTTGTGCTGATGTAGACCAGTGGTCACCAGCCAGTCAGTCTTGATTGACTGGTCGATCGTGAAGCCTCCGACAGTTGATCTCAGTCTGTCAGAGGATCCATGATTGGGAGCAGAGGACGAACGTTACTGGACTGAGCCACGCCCCTTGCTGCTGGGGCCAGGCTGGGTGAGTGAGGTCAGAGCCTGGGAGATGGGGTGGGGTGGGGGTGGGGCTGCGGGGGGCACGCCGGAGGATGGGGTGGGGGCAGTTGATCCTGGCATACTCTTTACTTACAAAAAGTAATCTTCACCATAAAAAGATTAGTCTACATCAGTGGTCTCCAATTTGCAGCATCATTGATAGTCCTGTCACACATGGGTACTATCTGACAGTGGAGTAAACTACTGCACTTAAAGGCATGTGTAGACAGTGGTATCAAGATTAGTTTGGTCTGGCTCAAATTGCATTGGACTTTATTCAGTCACATTAATTGCACATGTAGATGCACCCAGTATGTGTTGTCAAAGACTTAAGAAATAAATAAATAATTGTCAGGCTGGATTCAGTAGGCTTTTCACATGTTTATGTAATTCATTGTTCTTTTACTCAGTAGTTAATACTGAATACTATGAATACTGTACTGTACATACATTTGTTGAAATGTATGTACAGTATTTAAAGCTGATTTTGCTTTTCCCTGTAGATTCATTGGTTTTCAATCTTCAATTCTTTCATGATGGTCATCTTCCTGGTGGGCTTAGTGTCCATGATATTAATGAGAACGCTGCGCAAAGATTATGCTCGATATAGCAAAGAAGAAGAAATGGATGATATGGTAAGATGTGTAGTAAGCTTCTGTGAATGTATTTGTTTTATTTGTGTTTGTTTCATTAGAGAGATTTTTAATGGTTTTGTGCCTCTTCACAAAAACAGGAATTTGAGGGAAAATTTCAGGAGAAAATTGGCATGGATTTGTCTTGAAAGTGGGAAGGGAAACATTTTTCACATTTAAGAATACAGGTTGTGCAGTTTCCTTAATATGTTCAGTTACTGACTGCTGAGGGACAAGCAAGGGAAATGAAAGCTGTTGTGATAGATTACATAGAGGGCTGGAGATGGGATGACAGCCTTCTGTTCCCGTTTCATCTTTGGATTCCACATAGTTCATACAACCTGCGGCTTATGAACAGGGTTTGCTATTTCATATACGTTCTTATCATTTGCTTCTGGATATAAGACTTTACCTTATACTTGGTCTTTTCAGTTTACATTTGAGGCATACTGGCAGGGTTTCTTGGAGAAAATTTGCGTTGTTCTGATTTGTGTTTCCTGCTCTTCATAAATTGGGCTTTAACCTCTGGAGCTATCAAGCAAAGCAGTTGAATACTTGTCAGATCTAGCCTTCAGCTAGCAACTTGTATTGTACTTTTTATGTGTATTTATGGACTGCTTGAAATTGCTTTAAACTATCATATTTGGGCAAACATTTACTTAATGCCTGGAAATATTTTTTCTCATTTGTTATTACTTGGTTGTTATAACAAAGCTATTATTCTGCATGCAGGACAGAGACCTAGGTGATGAATATGGATGGAAGCAGGTCCACGGAGATGTTTTTAGACCATCCAGTCATCCTTTGATATTTTCATCACTTATTGGCTCTGGTTGCCAAATCTTTGCAGTCTCTCTCATAGTCATTGTTGTTGCAATGATAGAGGATTTGTACACAGAGTAAGTATGGTCATGCTGTGCCTTTTTATATATTTAAGTGTTCTTAAATGAATAGAACGTTTGTAAAAATGAACCTCTTAGTCTGTACATAGTGTTAGTAAAAGTGTTGTTTCAAGTTGCAGCTAAATTTCAGCTTTGTCCTTCAAAGTATATTCCTATAAATCAGCGGGATTGGCCAGTTGCTGACTGGTCGCTGGGGGAGGTACGTGCCTCCCTTGACTAAAGCGGCACCAGGCACCCATGATCTAGCGTAACCAACCCCTTCCTCAAAGCTGGACCATCCCCAGCTAGATCATTCCAGCCAGGGTTTTGTTGAGCCAGGCCTTAAAAATCTCCAACAATGGAGATCCCACCACCTCTCTAGGTAACCTGTTCCAGTGCTTTTTCCACCCTCCTAGTGAGAGAGCTTCTCTTAATATTTAACCTAAACTTCTGTTGCTGAAACTTCATAGATTTCATAGACATTTGGGCTGGAAGGGACCCTGGAGGATCATCGAGTCCATCCCCCTGCCCCAGGGGCAGGAAGTCAGCAGGGATCACAGGATCACAGCAAGATAAGCATCCAAATGTGTCTTGAAGGCGTTCAAAGTGGGTGCTTGAACCGCCTCCGGCGGCAGTCTATTTCAAACCTTGGGGGCTTGGACAGTGAAATTCTTTCTTACGTCCAGCCTGAATCGGTTGTGGCAGAGTTTCTCACTGTTCGATCTTGTCTCATTCCTTGGGGCGCTCTGGTGATCAGACGTTCCCCCAGATCCTGGTGAATACCCCTGATAAACTTATAGGTGGCCACCAGATCACCCTTGAGCCTGCACTTTTCCAGGCTGAAGAGCTCCATGGCTCTCAGCCTTTCATCATAAGGTCTGTTTTCCTGACTTCTGATCCTGCACGTGGCTCTCCTCTGCACCCTCTCAAGCTTCTTCACATCCTTTTTGAACTGTGGAGCCCAAAACTGGATGCAGTACCCTAGCTGCAGCCTCACCAAGGTCGAATACAATGGGAGAATGACGTCCCAGAATTTGCTTGAGAAGCATCTGTGGATGCAAGTCAGCGGTTTGCTCGCTTTATTAGCCACAGCATCACATTGAATGCTCATGTTCATCTTGTGGTCAGTCATGACTCCCAAGTCCCTTTCATCTGTAGTGCTAACCAGCGTAGTACTACTGAGCCTATAAGCATGCTGCAGGTTTTTCCTCCCGAGGTGGAGAGCCTTGCATTTTTCGGTGTTGAACACCATCAGGTTCTCATCCACCCATTTCATGAGCCTGTCAAGGTCAGCCTGGATTACCCTCCTGTCCTCAGGTGTGGATGCTTTACCCCAGAGTTTGGTGTCATTGGCAAACTTGGCCAGTCCACTTCTGACACCAATGTCCACATCATTGATGAAGATGTTAAATAGTATAGGCCCTAGGACAGAGCCTATACTCTTTAGGACTGGTCACAGCGCACCACGACATTTGACTTCTGTCAACCACCACCCTCTGGGTCCTGCTGCGGAGCCAGTTCCCCAGCCAGCAGATCATGGTGAGGTCGAGGCCGCAGTTAGCCAGTTTAGCCAAGAGGTGATCGTGGGATACCAGATCGAAGGCTTTTTTAAAGTCAAGATATACAACGTTGATCTCTTCCCCGTTGTCCGGGTGATAAGTCCCCTGGTCATAAAAGGAAATGAGATTGGTCGAGCAAGACCTACCCACAACAAACCCATGCTGGGTATCCCTTAGGATATTGCCTTCAGCTAGTCTGTTTAGGACGGCCTCTTTGATAATCTTTTCCAAGACCTTCCCCAGGATAGAGGTCAGGCTGATGGGCCTATAGTTTACTGGATCTACTTTCCTCCCTTTCTTGAAGATAGGCATGACATTGGCCCTCTTCCAGTCATCGGGCACTTCACTAGAGCGCCAAGAGCTCTCAAAGATCCATGCCAGGGGCTGAGCTATGATGAACTTGAGACCATTGCTCCTTGTTCTGTCATCTACCACTAAGAACAGTCTAGCTCCATTCTCTTGGAAATCATCCTTTAAGTAGTTAAAGGTTGCCATCAAATCCCCTCTGTCTTCTGTTCTACATAAGCCCAGTTCCCTCAGCCTCTCCTCAGAAGTCACATGCCCAAGCCCCCTACATTTTTGTTGCCCTGCACTAGACTCTGTTCAACTTTTCTGTAGTGGTGGCCCCAAAACTGGACTTAGTACTCCAGATGTGGCCTCACCAGTGCCGAATAGAGGGGAATAATTACTTCCTTTACATACTTTGAGAAGTTACTTTCACTCCCATAGGAATTATTCCCAGTGTCTGAAATCAAAGAGATAAGTAAGTACTGGAAAGAGTCTACCCCACAAGGCTTATTCTGCGATCTGGAGTGCACGTAGAACACTGAAGTAACCCTAACTCAAGTTACTTAGACAAAACATAGAAATCCAGATCAGCTTCATTTAAACAGTCAGTCCTGTGGCTTGTCCATTGCTTCGAGTATGTTGCTTGTGGAATGGTATTTCCCTTCCCCCCCTCCCCTTCATCATTTTGTCAGTTTTTTAGACTGTATGTTCTTGGGTATGCACTGGCTTTCTCTGTTTTGAAAAGCAGTTACTGCATTTTGTGTGTAGTAATGACAAATAACTTTACAAATATTTGGTTATTAAATAGCAATTAGAAATCTCTCCTGGGCTTTCAGATATAAAAGATATCAGATTCACCCAAGGAACCTTGTCTGCCCATGTCCTTAGACCAACACGGCTACAACCTACGCTCCTGGGATTTCATGTATTTTACACAGTACTTGCAGTTTTTTTGATAGGCCACTAGAGGGAGCTCTTGCATCTGAGTTTAGCTGCCTCTTTTAAACTGAAACAATTTTTAAAAACCCCATACGGTCATATGTTCTTTTTGGTTTTATTGATTGTTCTCCTGATGACAGTAGTGAAGAGGGAATTACACAGACAGATTCAGTTTATTAGAATTTAAATTGTTTAGGGCAGGAACCGTTACTATTATGTTTGAAATATTTGCACATTGCAGTGCAGCTAGTATTGGTTTTGGGTTATCTCGTAAAAGATCTGGGAGAAACAGCTGGTGATTTCAGAAGTGTTTACATGGTCTCTAGATCTGTTTTCTTTTTTTTTTTAAAAAGTGCCACTTGTACAGAGATATCAGTCTAGTTCTAAGAATGCATGTAAGCATTTCACCAGTTTTGGTTGAGAAGTCAGCTAGAAGGAGGAAAATACAATGGTCTAAGCTGAAAAAAATGTACTTTTGATTATGCTTTGCCCATGAACAATCATTTTTGCAAAATAATTGGAATTAGTGTTGTGCAGTTCTATAAAAGAGCTGGCTATACCTCTCCAGGATACTCAGTTTTCTGTGGAAGATGTCTAGCTGGCATTTGGTCATACCTGCTGTTAATTTATTAATAATGGATTGTATTACAGGAAAGCTTTTGTGTTTAGGACTTTTGAAAAAAAAATACGACTGAAGTATAAGGTGGCAAATTCTAACAGAGTGATTCTCAATCAGTGTGCTGTGGCACCCTGGCATGCCATGAGATCCTTTCAAGGGTGCCGTGGAGATTCGCACAGTGTTAGGACTGTTAGGTGTGCAAACATGAATTGCAAGGTAAACCCAGAGATTTCAAATAGAAATCCATAGTGTTCAAAACACTCTAACCTGTTGGAGTCTTTATGAATTCTTTGCAACATAATTGCCCTAGTATTTTTCTGTAGTAAAAAAAAAACAAGTGAAAATTAAGAACTGACATTTTTCAAGGGATGCCTTGAGCTGAATGCAGGGTGCCCTGCGTCTAAAAGGTTTGGAGCTAGACTGTTCCTAGTGGTGACAGATGACAGAACAAGAACTAATGGTCTCAAGTTGCAGCAAGGGAGGTTTAGGTTGGATATTAGGAAAAACTTCCTTACTAGGAGGGTGGTGTAACACTGGAACAGATTACCTAGAGAGGTGGTGGAATCTCCATCCTTGGAGGTGTTTTAAATTCCCAGCTCGACAAAGCCGTGGCTGGAATGATCTAGTTGGGGCTGGTCCTGCTCTGAGCAGGGGGTTGGACTAGATGTGACCTCCTGAGGTCCCTTCTAGCCCTCATTGTTTGTGATTCTAAAAGCACTGTTCTAACATCATTTCAAGCTAGCATTCATTCACTGAATGCATTGGAGTTCCTCTGGATTTATGCTAACATTAAATTAAGCCAAGATTTACCCCTGCATTTTTTTAACAGTCTGCTTCTAAATTGGTTAATGTGAACAAGTATCATAAAATATGTGCATTTGTTGGCTGGAGCTTTCTAAATGGAAAACTTAATTTTAATAGGCAGATGGATTTTAGTAGAGTTCAGTCTAATATGAAAGTTAATACATCATTTATTTATTAATTTATTTACTTTTAATGCATCCGTTCAATCCACTGCCACAGCTGCAGAAGGAAACTACCATGCACTAGAGTTAGCTAGAGGTTAGCATCCAGTGTTTGTCCATCAAAAGCCAAACTGCCTGCAGTCCAGAATTTATCAGATAGAATGACAGACTCATCTAATATAGCCAACTGGCTGTTGATTCTGCCAAAGAAGGGTCAGTTTTATTAGGGGAGGGTACGGCACTGCTTTATTTATGAGTACCCCCTGAGTCCACTTTCTCTACAGCCTGATTAAATAAATTGGTGGGGAGGGGGGGACACCTTTTGTGGTTTAACATTAGCTTGATTTGCCAGTAAAAGTCCCCTAACAAGTAAAGCTCTATATTTGCTATATTAGTAAGTTGACAACTTTTTAAAAATGACTGAACTTTTCAGCTTCAATTTGATGCCTTCAAGGTAACAATGTGGAGGCTTCAGTACAACATTTTGCAATATCTATATTTGATGTTTTCAGTCTTCTCTAAGACAAACATTTCAGGCTATCTTTTATTTATTATTTGTTGAATTTGAATAGATGGCAGGCAGGTGATTTGTTTAGTATTCTGAAGAACCATCATAAAGTGACTTTTTGTTTGAAAAACATTACAGCTAAAGTAGTTTTTCATCTGAAATTATGGCATATGTTAACTTAAGGGAGCCGTATGTTATAGTCTTATGATAATTAAATGTGTGTGTACATGTTATAATTCATTTTTTTTCATGGCATAGGGCACAGCTACAAAAGACAATCAATAATTTGGGTAAAAATTCTATATTTTGCCTTCATTTAAAAGGAAATTAAGCATGTCAGGGACACACTGCACCAGTAACTTAATAGCTTCTAGCCTGGTAAAATAAGGTTGATCAGCAGCTTTCAGTGGGACATAAGTGTCATTTTCAGTAAAGATATTAAACTTTTAAAGACAAATTTCATTGCATCTTGAATTTTGCTCTTACTGCCACTAAAAGTAGCAATTACATATTTTTTGACAGTTGTGCTTGTTTTACTGGGATCTTTTGCTATAATATACATTGGGGGTTTTTTGTATTTATATTTACCTTGCTAAAATACCTGTTTCTTATTGTAGGAGAGGATCAATGCTTAGTACAGCTATATTTGTTTATGCTGCAACATCTCCAGTGAATGGATATTTTGGAGGAAGCCTTTATGCTAGACAAGGAGGTAACTTTTCTATGTTTTTAATTAAAACTATGTTAAATGATTATGGCCAGGTTAGTTAATAGATTATATTTGAATCTGTTAAGTTGTCATTCCCTGCTCCAGAGTTGGCTGTTTCTCCTAACAGAAGATTGCCAAAAATATCAGTAGTATTGTTTTTTAAATCAGTAAGGAACACAGGGATGTTAAACAGCAGTCTCCTTGCCAAATTGCAGCTCAGTAATTATATTCTGCCTGTCTAATATGTCTTTCTATATCAAATGGATTCAATTTCTTTTGTTCTGAAAGCAGTATGGTATTACTGCGTGGTGTTAAATAGCCTAGGTGTCCAACCCCAGAGAGGTGGCCTTTGCTGCCTGATCCAGTATCCTGATATATACCCCTTCTTCATAGGAACCTTGAGGTTGGCTGTTTGTAAAGAACGAAGGGAAGGGCTGGTAGATGTGCACAGCATTCATTACTTTGACTTTTCACTGGACTGAGTAACTTTCATGGGATCTTAGTAAAGCATCTGTTGGTTAATTCAGCATGTTTCTTGTTTGTTTGTTTGTTTCAGCATGTTTCATCATATTCAAAAGTGAATATTGGTAGGAAATATAAGCATAATAAAATTAGCCAAGTAAAGTAGGGCAGGCTCTCTGCAACCTTAATTCTGCAGCAGTACCAGTGCTTTCTGAAGATCGAAAGTGGAGTACCCCTGTTTTTCCCCCAGCTTCACTCTT